GAAACACTCAACTCCAAATGAATCCAGGACCTCGATGTAAAACCTGATATCCCAAATCTGACAGAGGAAAAAGTAGGTTATAAGCACAGGAAAAGACATTCTGAACAGGATCCTGGTAGAACAGGCATTAAGACCAACAGCTGACAAACAAGACAGACACCTCATTACACGACAAAGCTTCTCAACAGCAAAGAATGCAAACATTAAAATGAAGAGTATCTTTAGAATGGGAAAAAATCTTTACCAATTATATGTATGACAGAGAGTTGGGGTCTACAATACACAAAGAACTGAAAAAACAAAAACAACACAAAACAAAAACAAAGAAACGAACTAAAAAAAAATCCTCAAAGTAAACATGAAGAAAACAACCAAATTATAATTTAGAGTATGAAATTAAAGAGTTCTCAAAAGAATAAATACAAATGGCTGTGAAATATTTTTTTTCTCAAATGTTCAACATCTTTAGTCACTAGGGAAACGTAAATTAAAATTATTTTTGAACTTCCCTGGCAAGAGGCAAACAGATACTTTGTTGATGGTGGTTGGTGTTCTTCTACCAGCCCTGGGCAGAGCAGATGGCAATCCTTTGTTCTTCCTAGCCTGTTTTATGCCTAGGACTCATAAAAATAAATTTAAGTCAAATCAAATCCATGTAGCACAGCATGGGAGGTAGAAGACAGACAGAGACCTGTAGGCCTCTATGCTACCCACAGAGCTGCTCTCTGGAGTACGGGCACAGGTGGGTCGTTGATACTTGTTACCATGCCATACAGCATGGATGGATGATGTCACCCAGGGACCTGTGAGCCATGGCCAGCGTGCAGCAGGAGCCACTGCAATGTATGAGTCTGTGGTGGACAGATGAGAGAGAAAGAGAAGTGGAGCTGCTTGATCAGTGTGAAGAGACAGGAAACTGGAGACTTTAGAGTGGAGAGGAGTAGCCTATTGTGAGTGGCCGGTACTGCCACCTAAGGCCATGGGGTGGTCCCAGTCTGAGGTGACTGAGGACCATGCCTGGTTCTGTGTCTATACAGTGGCAGGGTCCCATGTTGATGTCTGGTTCATGTTACCACTAGAGAACAACGGGGATGTCCTTGTTATGGTAGCCACAGGGGATCGTATGGATGTGCAGAAAAGCTGCTGCTCCGCATGGATGTGGAATTCTGGAGAGCTGGCCCCATCTCTCACCAGCACTCAAGACAGCAGGTCCTGCACCTGCATCAGGCAGCACAATGGAGCTGGCCACGGTGGCAGGAGTGTGGGAGATATGACCCCACCACTCATCTGGTGTGGGGTGACACAGCAGAGGTGATGTCCCCTGCTACCTCCCACAGTCAGAAAGGCTGCCCACAAGGTCATGAGCTAGCTTTGTCCCTCACCAGCCTCAGCACTTGTGTGGCTCCGCACCTCACTCAGACAGCACAGTAAAGCTGATCCTGGGTGGTAGGGATGCAGGCAAGTCAGCCCTGAGTGGAAGAGCTGGCCCTGCTACTCTTCTGCCATCAGGTGGTGGGGGTGATGCCTTACCCAAGTAGGGAGAGCTGGCCCTGGGGACCTGAGACCAGGAGAGCTAGCTCTCCCCCTTGCTGGCTACAGTACTCAGGAGAGCTGGCCCTGCACCTGACTTGGGCAGCACAGTAGGGCTGGCCCTGGTCCAGGGGGTACAGGTGAGCCAGCCCCAAGGGTGAGAGCAAGGGAGAGCTGACCCTGCCACTTGTCAGCTGTGAAGTGATGTGGGTACAGGGGTGATCAGTCCCCCCCTACTCCCTACCATCACTACCAGTTCCTCTCAGGCTGCAACACTTGGGAGAGTAGGCCTTGTACCCTGACTGGGCAGCACAGTGGAGCTGGCACTGGGGCCCGGGTGCAGGTGAGCCGTCCCTGAGGACAGGAGAGCAAGAGAGCCGAGTTGCAGGTGGCCTAGCTGAAGCAGTGCTGGAGAACTCACCCTGGTGCTATTTATAGGAGAGAGCAAGTATGCTGACCAGCTCAGCTGCCACGCAGGTACAGGTCCAGGGCTCTGAGGTGGCCCACCCCAAAATCTGTATCTGTGAATGGTTAGGACACATGACAGTCCTGTTGTTCCAAAGCTGTAGGATTTCCATGACCCAGGGCAAAAACAAGAAAACCAGGAGTCCCAGTGAAGATTCAATATTGATGGTGTCACAGAAGCCAGAGATCTCAAACCAGACCAATGACTCATTGCAATGAACATTTGGGAGTAAAGATGTGTGGACAGAGGGATATACTGTGGGACACACTGTGACAATAGTATAGCTTCCATGATGAGATGTTCCCTATGCTTTGGCTTTGTTTGTTTGTTTGCTTGTTCTTCTTTTAGGGGTAGGTTGCAAGCACAAAGGCTAGCTATGAAGGGATGAGGAGATAAATGAGACTGGGGTGCACGATGTGAAACTCAAAGAATAAAAAGTTAAAAACAGATTTGAGTTTTTATCTTCAGTCAGGAGTGCCAAGATAAAAAAATGACAACAAATGCCAGTGTAGATGTGGAAGAAGGGGACACTTATTCACTGCTGGGAGATGTACAACCACTATGGAAATCAAGGCTGAGGTTCTTCAAAACCTAGAACTGGATCTGCGACCACATGCTCTACCTGTACCATTCCTATTCCTGAAGGACTCCGTCCTCTTACGGTACTTGTTCATCCATGCTTGTTGCTGATGCAATCATAATAGTCAAGGAATGGAAACAGCCTAGACGTTCATCAGCAGGTAAATGGATAATGAAAATGTGCTACAAATACAAAATGGAATATTATCCTGGTGTGGAATGTGCAGATATGGATGGAGCTAGAAATAATCATTCAGAGTGAGGTAACCCAGACACAGAAAGACAAATACTATGTGTTCTCTCTCATATGTAGATCCAAGATCTCAATCTTCACATGTGTATCTAAATTGGAGTACCCACAAAAGGCAGAAAACTAGTAAGGGGCAATGGTGGAGTGGACTTCAAGGAAACGAGGAGTAACCACTTTCTGACTGGATTTAAAGCTAGCCTCACAAGACTGAACTCATGCCTGATACCTTTACCTGAGACAAAAACCTGTTGCTGGCTAGGTCACAGGCCTGGAAGGAAAATCTTATACTGCTTTTCAGCTAAATGAAGGAGATAAACTGTTACTCAGTTCTTATCTAGACCTACAGATGGGGGTTTATCTCCACACTTTTCAGAGAAGCTTCTTTTACAGTATAGAGCAATTAAGAGACCTACAACTTGTCAATATGTGAAGATATCTGTCTTCCTTCCTTCCTTCCTTCCTTCCTTCCTTCCTTCCTTCCTTCCTTCCTTCCTTCCTTCCATCCACCCACCCACCCATCATCTATGTCACATCCCAGCAGTTCAGGAATCATGATGGAAAAGAAGTCTCAGAGAGACTACATGAGTTAGAGGCAGATGTCTGCAGCAAAAATTTGCCAGATTTGTCATAGTTGTGATAAATGCACAAAACCTGCACAAGATTAAGTCAGTCAGAATTCAAGCATGGAGAGGGAGGGGCTCTTCAAGTACTACCACCTGCAAGGAGCGATTAGTTAACTCGTGGCTGCTGGAGAATCAGTCTCTTCAGGGATGCAGCCTGAAAGGCTACCCAGACTCCAGCAGATTGTCCTACACCCATGCTCACTAAATGGACTCAGTGGGTTTAAAACACTTGTACAAAAGAGTTGGTAAGAAATAGTCCTGGGAGGATAGGGGAGAAACTGGAGGGAGTGCATTTGATCAAATGTATTATATTCATGTATGAAATTCTCAAACAGTAAAAAAATTGCTTCCCACAGTATTATTTTATAGAACTGATTGAAAATAATAATAATATCCACATCCTATTAGCTCAGGATCGATAATGAATAAAGTGCACTTTGCTAAGTCCCATTCACTTAAACACACAAGAACAGAAACTATACATATCTTAGTTTAAATTCACTGTTTAATTTTAGTCCGCATATTGACTTAACTCATGAAAAAAAAAGTTGCTCTAACTTCTCCTAAGAGTTTTAGAAAAAGAATGTAAAGAAACTTATGATAGCTTATAGCCCTCTGTTTCAATGTTTTTCCACAGAGACCCAAGACTTGGTGTTAGTATACATGTATGACAGGCCTATTGCTGACTTTAGGCCTATGGCTGATTTTAGGTCTTGGGTCTCTGTGGAAAAACATTGAAACAGATGGCTATAAGCTATTATAAACAGGCAGCTTTTGTGGAAATTTACAAGCCTGAGTAGCCATAGACCTTGTAAATAGGTAGCCTTGGCAGATAATACCAACTTAGATAAGGACAAGTGAATCATAGACAGAGTCATAGTGACCTGTCTCCTGAACCTTCACCCAGCCCATACCATGTTCTGAAAGATATCTGTATTCTCCCCCGATCACCCACACTCCGGTGTCATCCCCTTCCCCACGAGGCAGGCCTTTCTGTGTTTATAACCCCTGTGTGAATAGGTAAAAATTATGATTTGATTAAAAAAATAAATAAAAAAGAAACTTATGAAACAAGACTATGTGAAATTCAGCACTGACAATCTGGTATCCACCTTAAGCAAATTTTTACTGTGCTTTCCCAACATTAGTCTTGATGTCAACAATTATTTCCCTCCGAATTCTACATTGTTTTGTTCATTATAACTGATTTCTGATTAACAACAGCTTAGTGTCATACAGGGTTCAGCTCTGTCTAGGATGCTAAGTATCTACCTTTTCTTTCTTGTCTATACTTTGATTGGAGTCTAGTAATTTAATAGTTTCTTTGGTCTTTACCTTTGCCATTCAGAACTTTCAAGATTTCTTTTTTATAAGCACGACTCCACAAGTAGTAATAATTTAGTTTATATTTATGTGGGAAACTACTCCAAGTAGGATTTTTTTGTTATTTGCTCTGAAAGAAAGTATTTCCCTTTTGTTTCTATGACTTCTGTTATCCTGACCACTACAAGAAACTATGTGAAGAGTTCCTAAGAGTTATTTTTTCCTTTGAGTAAGACCATTTATTTTAAATAATTGTCACTGAAATATATCTGGCCCAAGCAGCAGGAAAATGTTCTACTCCATTATGCCATCTTGTAGCCTCACAAAATTCCATAAAATAGTTTATCCCTACTAGCTTAACATTCTTTTACCCACCAAACTTTAAAATCTTGCACATTTTGAATGTAGTTGGTTTCACAACTCTGAAAAAATGAGAGTCTCCTACAAAACCTTGGAAATAGCATCTAACCCTTCTCCTTAGAGAAATGTTTGACACAGGGTGTCTCTATGAAGCCAGACTTGTTTGAACTTTGGATCCTCCTGCTTCAGTCTTCTACAGTGCTAGGATTATGTGCACATTCCACTATATTCAGCTTGAAGACATCTTTTGTTGGCTAGCTGTAAGCCAGCTCCACTTCAACAAAAATGTTCTATGGTGTGCTTATAGGTAAAGTTAGTGTGTGTGTCTGTGTGTGTCCTGCATGAGAGCTGGGGCAAAAAGGCTCATTACAATAGTTTTGAACTTGCTTTATTATCAATACAGAATACAAAATCTAATGTTCAGAGATTTCTTTTTCTAAGATATACTTACGCTAGCAAGACTAAACGTTAGCAAATAACCCAACCTATACTCTTCAAATAGTTTGACAGTGTCACTAAGTCATTATCAGCTTTTCAACTGTCATACCGCACAATTTCTAAAAGATGGGATTACTGATGTACTAAGGAAACTGAACTTCAAAAACATTTTCTCAGATTTCACATTATATGGTGTTTATCACAAGTGTAAAAATTTTTAAACAGAAGTAACATACAATATCTATAATAAAATGCCTCACTATATGATTCTGGGTTTAAGTGAGAAGACCATTTTTTGTCCTGACTTTTAATACTAAAATCTTGAAAAAAAATCTTTTCTTTATTGTAGAACAAATACTGTAAGAGACACTGACAGCAGTAACACACTATCAAAATATATACAAATGGCAGCAATGTAATTTTCATGTTTTTTTACATTAGAAATATGCATTTCTCAACTTAATCTCCTGATGAACTACCTCCAACATCAATGTTGAGGAACTCTTTGATTTTATCATATAACACCAAGACCAAAGCACCTCCTGTACCACGAAGGATGTTGGAGAAGGCACCACGGAAGAATGCAGCACCTCCTTCATGATTGTATATTTTCAGAAAGCAGTCTATGGTTCCTTTATATTGCTTTTCAGATTCTCCACTCTATGTTAAAAAGACAAATAATTTTCTATTAGTTTATTATCTTTTTAGGACATTTTAGGACATCAGTACTATAGATGAAAACTAATACTATGTTGAGTTACTGAGAATATAGTTAATACTGCACGGAGGGAGTGGAGAGTGTTCACACTTTTCAGAATCATTTGAAAACTGACCATACATCATTTGACAAATGTTACAAGGTGACATGACATAAATCACAGCTTAGTCTTACCACATGTCAATTAACTGAAAGACTCAGAACAAAATTAACACTAGGAAAAAATGTATGTTCAGAGATTAGGAAATTTTTTATTTTGAAGGAAAACTTGGAAAACTGAAGAATGAACTCTAAGACTCATTAAATTAAATCTGGGCTAATTAACATTAGGAATAGACTGATGAACTTTAAAAGTTTTTTTAAAGAACATAAACATTAAAAAGTAAGAAAAGCTAGGTGCTGGTGGTGCAAGGCACTAATCCCAGCACTTGCAGAAGCACAGAGGCAGAGAGGCAGAGAAGCAGAGAGGCAGAAGAGGTGGATCTGAGGTCTTGAAAAACTCAAAATCCAATTACCCCACCACCACCCCAAGTAAGAACAAGTAAATAAGCCTAAGTCATAAAAGATGTAGGAAACAACAGAGCATATGATGAGGGCTCAGGGCTTGTAAGTGTGACGGCTTGACTTCAGATTCCCCAAATCCACTTAAAGCCTGAAATCTTAGGGCACACCTGTAATTCTACTGCTCCTACAGTAAGATGGGAGGTGGGGACTAGAGGTTCCTGGGAGCTTAAGGACCAGCTAACCTAGTACTGGCAGGTAAACCTGAGACCCTGTGTTAAGCAAAGTACAAAGTGAGGCCTGACACCTGAGGTTGCTCTATGACCTTCACAATAATGCACACACACACACACACACACACACACACACACACACACACACACGACTGCATAAACACGAACACACAAAGATATTTTTAAGTTAAAAGATAATGAAAATAAAACATGTAGAGTTTAAATCAAAGTTACATCTTTGAAACACTTGGGGAATTCTCTGTAAGCCAGTTTCAGAGAAGAGTAAGAATGGTTCCAAACTGTTAGACTGTCAAGGAGAATGCGGATGCAGAGGAGTAGAGACTTAGAGTAACATACAACCAACTTCATGATAATTATTTTTAAAACTCAGAAAGCAGAAAAGTAATGCTATCAAAAACATAATTTATAATTTCCAGAGAAATAAATCCTAGAACTACAGAATTAGTGCCTCAGAAATGCAAGGAAAGTTGCATATGCCATGGTTTCCCCTCAAGAGTTTCCTCAGACTTTTCTTTTGGGAAGCTGCATCTGATCACCTTAGGCAGTGTACATTCCCTGATTTTCTGCACATTTCTTTTTAGCCCTTAATTGTGTGTCTTCAATACTGCATTATGAGTTTGAGTATAGGTCCTGGCATTTTTGTATCACCAGAACTTAGTGTAGATTAAGCATTCAAATGTTTACTGAAGAAATGGATGTATCATGAAAGAGATGGAATATATAAAATTTACACAATTATGTTTGGAACATGAGATATTATAAATACTTTTTAAACTTTGGAGTTCAAAATTACATACTTTATATCAAAATATAGCCAACAGGAAATTATTATGCTAATAGCCTATAATTGAGTTCCTTGAGGTAATTTTTCAGCTAGGATGGATATACTCAAGGATGAAGAGATTCCTCAATGCTTAGAACACTTGCTGATCTTTCAAAGGTCCTAAGTTTGATTTCCAGAACTCACATGGTAGCTCACGGCCATCTATAAGTTCAGTTCCTGGGTATCAAATACACTCTCCTAGTCTCCTTGGGCACACAGGTGGTGCACATACATACACAAAATCAAAACACCCATACACATCAAATAACAATAATTATTCCACAAGTGTAAAAAGATGAATATATTCATCCAGTCTCTATCATCCCTCCACACTCCCAGGAATGCAGGAGTAGAAAGGCATTTTTGTTTTCACAGCAGAAAGGAAGAGCTGTGCTGGCTGCTGGCTCTTTTACAGTAGGAAACAAACAGTTTCAGCAAAAAGGTCTCTGAAACTGAAAAACATCACATTTGTGTTTGTAAGATAGACTTAGTCAGTTAAACTTACAAATACATTACCTGCATCATCATACGTCTTCTAACTGTGTCAAAGGGATAGGAGAGTATTCCAGAACAGGTAGTCACGATTTGAGCAATGATAAAAGAGACAAGAAATGGGGTTTCCTTTGGCTTTGGCAATAAGCCCTAGGAGAAAAATGTTATCAAGTAAGCAATAATCTTATTTTCCAAAGTTATCTTAAATTCTTAATTTAAACAAAGGATAGTTTTATACATATATAAGAAGAGATGGAATAATATTTAATGTGCAATTAAAAACAAACAAACAAACAACTGGAACTGAGAAAGAAGGCCAGTAGTGCCTACCTATCAAGCAGAGGCCCTGGATTTGGTATCCAGATTCCTTTAGGGACATGTTACAGTGATTAATTAAGAGCAAAGATGTTTTGCTTGTCATTTAATGAATATGTTTCATAACAGTTGTTAGGACCATGAAGTTGCAGAGCACTTGGTAAGGTTTCTAGAACTAAGTAACAGTTCAAACATGGCAGCCATTAATATAATCTGTCTTTTTCCTGCATTAAAAAGTGCTATAAAAGTCTGAACTCAAAAGGAGAACTACAAAGGAACCTGGAAAATACCACACAGAGTCAATCAGCAGTCAGAGCTTGAACCAAGCCGCATTCAATTGACCCTTCCTAGTTCCCACATCAATTATCTGCATATAAAGTGATAACAAAATTAACATAAATCAGAAACAGTTAAAACATGTCTTTTTATCTGCTAAAGATATGGAGGCCAAACCAGGACGATTTCTGTGACATCCTGTGTATGATGAAAAAATCTTAAATGCTTCATTGTTGACAAAATGATCATGTAAAGTCAATCATAATAATTATAACTTAACTAATTATGGCAGTGATTAATTAATAAAATTTCTTTTCTCCTATTTTATCATTCATTTTGTTTTATGTATCTAGTTATATATTAAAATACACTGATTAGAGTAAAAAGAAGAAACCATTACACCCATTAAAGTCATTCAATTACCTTAACAGTGTCATAAGCTCCAAAATAAGAGGCTCGGTAAACAATGATACCCTGAACAGAGACACCAAACCCTTGGTACAGACCAATAATTCCATCTGACTTGGCTATTTTCATAATGCAGTCACCCAAACCTGTGAACTGTCGTTGCTCAGGACCTAAAATAAAGCATTGAAAACTATTAGGTAATATTTATATCAAACATCTTAGTCAAAGCAGTTAAACATTTTAAAGATTCAAATGATATAAAATTTCTAATTAAAGGACACAAATAATCTCCTCATTCATTCAAGGAAGGTTTCAAAAAGTATTTCAAAAGAAATTACATGAAACTATTAAACTCTTACAAAAGTAATTTAGGCAATTTGACTTGGTATTTCAACCAAATTGTCAGAAATTATGAAAAAATACTTAGGAGGAAACAAAGGCAATCTCCAGAGTGAGAATTGTTTATCAACCAGAGAAGAGAAGAATCACCATAAACAATGGCAACAGAAGGATCTATGATTTAAAAAAAATTTACAAGCAAGCTTTGGGTTCACTATTGTTCAATACCCATTTCCATTTATTTTCTCTAATTTAAAGAGAAAGAAAAAAGTAGTTACTCTAACCCTGATGACTACATATCTGGTGCAGAATAAATTCTGTAGACTAGAGACTAGAAAGACAGCTCAGTAGTTAAAAAGGTGTTTGCTGTTCTTCCAGAGGATATGAGTTCAATTCCCAGCACTTAGGCTAGATGGGTCACAAGTGTCTGCAATTAAATTTCAAAGAATCCAACACTCTCTTCTGGTCTCTACCAGCATTTGAATACACATGGCATTCACCCACACAGACAAATACACGTAATTAAATCTCGAAAAACTTGTATGTGGTAACAATGTTGGCACACAACTGGTTCAAAGTACAAAGAAATAGTTAATGCTTATAAAAACTCTGTACCACGTTTAATCTCAGCACTCAGGAGGCAGAGGCAGGCAGATCTCTGAATTCTAGGCCAGCCTGATCTACAGAGTGAGCTTCAGGATAGCTAGGTCTACACAGAGAAACCCTGTCTCAGAAAGAAAAACACCTCCCCCCCAACCAAAACAAAAACCAAAAACTCTGTACCTTTTCCAATATCAACACCTAATCGGGTTCTGGCAAAATCTAGTGGATATACCACACATAAGGATGTTGCTCCGGCAGCCCCTCCAGAAGCCAGGTTTGCTAGAAACCACCTCCAGAACTAAAACACAAATTTCAAAAGCATTAAACTATAGAACCTAACTGTTCAACATGCTAATGAACTAATTTTCGCAAAGGCTAAAACAAAGGCCAAGATTTGTAAGATGCTCTTATAAACATCTATAACAATATGCAAAACATTTTCCTCATATCCATGTATTCTCTCCCCCATCCCACTTCCATGCATCAAGGACACTTCCCAGGACAGCATCAAGGGCTAATGGGAAAAGAACAGATTATCTAAATTGGAACTGTTAAGGAAAAATGCAGGGCAGAAGGTCTTCGTAACCAGTAAGAGCAATGTGAAATATTCAAGTCATATTCAGTCTCCTGCTACTCTCAGTGCTAGTATTTCTAGCGTTCGTTTTAAGTCTTGAACAGTTTGAAACTCCTAACTTTATCCTCTCCTAGCAAACAGTTGTTTCATGCTTTCACATCTACTTCTTTTATGAAGCATCTCATCTCGAGCCTTGTAAAGCTCGATGGCCATAGCTTCTTCCTATCAACATCTTATGTCAAAGAACTAAAGGACCAAACCAAAATGTGTCGCTGCAACCAGACTTTTATTTTAAAATTGTACTTAAATTTTTCCACTGTAGTTATTTATATATACTTACATTCCTACAGATTTAACTCTTGAGGCCAAGATTATTTTTATTTAATACATTTAGTTACAATTCACACTTCATACAACTTCTCCTTGAATACAATTCAACAAGTCAACACTTTTAAAATATGTTTGTCACCTCCAAAGAAATCCTATATTCTTTATAAGTCAGTCTACATCCTCCCTAACTCTTGAGCCCCAGGAACTTACTTATTTTAGCTCTATAGTGCCAATTATAGAGATTTCGTATGAACAAATTAACACAGAATACAGAATTATCTGTAGTAGTTTTGTTTTCATTTGATAATGCTTTCGAAGTGGATTCATGTAGCAACATCTACTACTACACTTCATCCTGTTTAACTGCAAATGATAGTGTTATATGGATGATACATCTGTCAATCAATTGTTTCCATTGGCTGCATGCCAAACCCTTAGGTCATCTAGCTTTTCACAGAACAAGTCATGGGATTTTGCCCAGAGACATATATTCAATAAATAATTTTTCTAATGAAATACATAGGTAACACCATTGATTATTTTCCAACTCTGATGGCTCCTTTTAAGTGAAATGTATCTGTACTACTGTGTAACATGTTACATAATCACAGGCAGATAGTTAACCGGATCAAGAGACTGCATATGACACTGGGGCAACTGACTCATGAAAATCTGGCAGAAAAACATGAGCTAGTCTAGACTTTCTTAGGGATCAGACATAAGACATTGGAGAGTCTATTTAGTTATTAGTAAGAGTAGAAATGGAAACATTACATTTTTGATACCTGATATTTTTTTGAGGTTTTTTAAAAGCTAGAGATAGACTTGTTTCCAGACAGGAGGAAAATCACATATTTTCAAAGACACACAAGTAGTGTTTCAGGTAGTGCTGACATACTATGGATCCCAAATTAAGATACTCTGACCTAAAGAAAGGCCATCAAAAATCACTGTGATATTAACCTTATATTACAAACATATAAGTTATGTACATAACTATCTAACTTATCTATTCACCACTAAAATAGGGGAGCAGTATTGAGGAAGACAAAATGCACCCATGAAAAGCAGGTAAGAAGACTCCCATGGGAGGCGACCCAGGAAAGAAAGGGCAAGTGGTTTTTGTCCCTTGAGAGGCCATCTGCTTAAGTCCAAGTGCCACTTATCACCCCTTTTTCCTGATCAAATTCAAGTGAACCTACACTTCTTATTACCAGTCAACCAAACATGACACAGAACATAAAAACTTATAACCTGCATCTTAAATTCTAGTAAATCTGTTTCTTCTTTCATGAATAATAAAGAAGGTAGAGTACTGACTTGGGGTGGATTATATCTATTTTATTATTCAAAACAAACTTATGGAAATATGGTAGGCAAATATAAGGGGAAAGGGAAGAAGACTGTTCAGGCAGAATAATGATCTTGAATTTATATAACTACACCTTCAAAACTATATCAAATATGGAACTAAACAACCCAGTAAAAGTTTCAATTATTATGCTGCTAATTTAAGATTTGACAATATTGTACTTTCATCCTCTTATATTTAGGTCATTCCATTCTAGTCAGCAAAGGTATTTAATATTTCAGTCTCCTTAAGACTTGCTTTGTTACTTAACATAAAAATTCTCCTATTCTGAAAATATTCCATATACACTTGAGAAGAGTATTAATTTTACTGTGTTGGATAGAATGCCATGTATTTTTTCGATTTTTATTATTTTTACAATTATTTTATTATTTTTACCAGAGTACTTTCACTTCAAATAAGTCATTATAAAAAATACAAATTCAATAGTTTCTTAGAAAATTTTAGATATATTGAAACATAATTACCTGTTTTTCTTTATTAACACCAGACATGAAAAGTTGTTTGTATTTGTCCTTAAAAGCGAAGTTTAAGGCTTGTGTTGGAAAGTATCGAATAACATTTGCCAAATTGCCACGCCAATAACTTAAAAATCCTACAGAAGTAAACACATAAATCCATTTTGCATTAGTAAAGAATTTTCTAAAACACATTTCTACTGAAGGAAGAAAATTCAGCATTATCTATGTGGCCCATCCCAATTTTGTTCACTTTAGGACAGGAAATCTCAAGAACGTAACAAAAGAAGTCATTAGCTAAACAAATACAGCAAGAGTCACTGAGGAAAAAGCAGAGCTCACTAGTAACCTCTGGCCTCATCCCCAAACCTTGATGCCAATTCCTATAGTAATAAAGCTGTTATCTGTGAGTACACTAGACCAAACAAATCTACTACTACTGGATCCACCTACTGAATTATACACATAGCCATGAGAAGTAAAGTGAGGTAATAAACTATGCTACGTTCTGGAACCAAGTTGCAAGAGGGCTGGAATTTACCAAAAGAGGAGAGGAGGAATGTTGGGTGCAGTAAGAGGAGCTGGTCCATTTTATTTGAAAGTAGTCTCTCCTGGTCTGTTGAAATAAATAATTTCCACACCTTAATTCTCCAAGTACTTCCCAACCTTCATGATTCATTCACCATGTGCTTAAAATGCAAAGTTCTCCTTATATTCCAGAGCCCCTCTAGAGTATGACAGTTAACTCTCCCAAAGTCTTGATTATTTTCAGGAGATGTCAAAGTGTCAAGTGGTTTGTGCACTTTTGAATAAGGTATCTCTAGTCTCAATTTGGAGAGTGCCCCAAATCAGACCTTTAAAAATAAACATTCAAAAAAACAAAACAAAACAGTGATCTCATAAAATGAAATGTTTATTTATTCCAGACTTGAAAATGAGGAGAATGGAAAATGCAAATTAAAGCCACAGTTATTTTGTATTTGCTAGCTATATTCAAAAAGATAAAAGTATTAGTAAGTACATAGAGAAAAAGATGAATCATTGTATAATATACGGGATTCTCTCCAAAACTCAAAGCAGAAGTACCATAGGGCCTACAATCCCACTACTTAGTACTTACAAAGAGGAACTAAAATTAGGATGCTGAAGATGTCTGCCTTTCTATGTGAAAGCACTACACACAACAGCCAACATACAGGATGCCTAAGCATTCATCAACAGATAAAGAAAATGAAGAATATATACACAACAGAATCATTGTTCCTTAAAAGAAAGTCCTAGCATTTCCAACTACATTTATAAACATGAGGATATTATGCTAAGTGAAATAGGAAGGCACAAAAAGAAAAATGTCACATATTATCACTTATATGTAGAATCTAAAAACATCTAACAGAAGTAGACAGAATGGTGGGTCCCACAGGCTGGGCAGGGGCGTGTTTGGGGGTAAGTAGGGTAAAGTGAGAAGTTGGTTACATGAGGTGAGGAGGTTTTGGATATCTAACACAAAGTATGGAGACTTTTAAAAGTTATTATTTTTTTAAGACAGGGTTTCTTTGTGTAACCTCCAATGTCCTTGAACTTGCTCTGTAGACCAGAGTGGCCTTGAACTCACAGAGATCTGCCTCTGTATCCCCCTCTCTCCTTTAAAGAAATGTGACAAACTCTGTTAAAGTAAGCAAATAGCTCCCATTGGGATGGGAGGGGTCCCAGAACTAAATCTACAGGATGGCGACTATTGTTAATAATACTGGTATCTTCAAGCTTCCTAAAAAAGTAGACCATAAACATTCTGAAAAAATATAAAATGATTTAGTTATATGTGGTGATGAATATGTTAGTTTGCTTGATTGTGGTAAGAGAACTGAATTAGCCAGAGCCAGGCTGACTCCATGACAGGCTGAAAACTGGCAGTTTGGGAGATTAGGCCTAAGTTTCTGTTTCCCAGAAATGAGAACCTGGATCCGGGAACCTGTGGTCAGCCAATATAAGGATACCTTGTCATCTGGCCGGAAGCAAAAGATAGGTAGCTAGAATGAGTAAATGACCACCCTGCAAAGTCTCAGAGCCCCAATTACAGTCAGATCCCTAGAGATAGAGCTAACCAACAAGGTTAAAAGGGCACATACTGCTCCTTGGAATTCCCCTTGCTGACAATAAAAGCTGGGCCTCCAAATCCACCAGGTTCTCCATTCCCAAATGGGAAGACCCCTGCATGCAGGAAATTCTGCTGAATAAATGTTCTTTATTGTTGCATCTTATTTGAGTCTGGAGTATAATTCTTCAGCAAATCTCCAACCCTTACAATGGTTATCAAGATAACATACATATATAAACACATTCTCCTATATATGATAAATTCATAATATTTTTACCAGACCCCTTCAAGAAAGCTAGAAAAATAAATTTTGAGGAAACATTAACAGGAAAAATACTAATTTGTTAGATACTTCTTTTAACTCGTTTACCACCAATACTAACCCATTTAAGAGTAGTATTTTCCCACCTTTCCAGATGAAGTATTAGGTTAAACAGCTTCTAGGGCACAGGGAATTTATTCAGCATAATTTGTAACTATATAGAATTAGAACTGAAACACAAGCAATCTGAGAAAATACCTTATGTGTCTAAAAACACTTTGGCCATGCATATGCTCACTACACTAAGGCGGCCAATTTCCAGGTGTGGCAGTGCACATCTTTAACTCTAACATTTGAGGCCATCCAGAATTACACACAGATAGGGTCTAAATAAGGGCTGGGGGCAACTGTCAAATGGAAGTAAAATAAAAAAATTTAAACATTAGGAATTTGAGCAAATAATAGGGGAGTTATTTCTTCTATTGAGAATTGTGCTAAATTACTGATGATGGTAGCAAATCTAATTTTTGGACTATTTTTAGTGGTATTTAAATTCTTATTAGTTAAGAAAACACTTTCAAAAACAGAGCTACACATTTGTTTTTTCAGAGTCTGGTCTCCATAAAAGAAAAATCAGCCCCACACCTGGTCCTTTTGGCTGGAGCAGACACCTAGCTGGTCTGCTCCTGTGGAGACACCATATCCTGAGCCATCCTAGAGGAACCACTGCAATAAGAGCAGCAGGATTTCAGGATCCCAGAGGCGGCCTGAGTCCCAGGAGTTCTTCCACCCAGGAGCTTAGGATCACAGGATCATAGAGACATCTGAACTCTGAGGAGTTCTGACACAGCAAGATAACTGGAAAGACAGGCTCCTGTCAGAGATAGTAAGTGCAGGTAGCACTAGAGTTAACCAGATGGTCAAAGGCAAGCACAAGAACATAGGCAAGGGAAATCAAAGTTACTTGGCATCATCAGAACCCAGTTCTCCCACCATTGCAAGCCCTGATACCCCACCACACAGGAAAGGCAGGAGTCACAATTAAAGTCACTTCTCATGATGATGATAGAAGATTTTTAACAAGGATATAAGTAACTTCCTTAAAGAAGTACAGGAGAACACAGGTAAACAGGTAGAAACCCTTAAAGAGGAAACACAAAAATCCCTTAAAGAATTGCAAGAAAACACAACCAAACAGGTAAAGGAATAGAACAAAACCATCTAAAAATGGAAGTAAATCTCAAAAAAAGATAAAGGGAATAAAGGAATAAAGGAGTTAAAAGGAATAAAGAAATCTCAAAAGGAGACTACCCTGGAGACAGAAAACCAGGAAAGAGATCAGGAGTCATAGACGCAAGTATCACAAACAGAATACAAGAGATAGAAGAAAGAATCTCATGTGCAGAAGACACCATGGAAAACATTGACACAATTGTCAAAGAAAATGCAAAATGCAAAGAGCTCCTAACCGACAACATCCAGGAAATCCAGGACACAATGAGAAGACCAAACCTAAGGATATTAGGTATAGATGAGAGTGAAGATTCCCAACTTAAAGGGCCAGTAAAT